TTTTTTTCAAATCAAGTTCAAACGTTTTTTGTAGGCCCTGACCATTTTGAACTTCCTAATCATTTTTCTGTTCGCTTAAATGGCTCAAAAACGAACACTGTGAATTAACAGATATAGAGAAGAAGGGATATAGGATGTTTATACTTAATGGTTGGCCGTTTTCATACATCCTTTTAAAACGCGTTTCTGCTCTCTGAACGCAAGAGAGAGGCCAAACTTGTAAGGTCGCTTGATTTGCGGGGTTTGATGTCTGATTATCTATTTACGTTATGCAGCAGCTCACTGACTTAGAGCCAAGGTTTTTCTAGTCTAGACTTCAGATAAATCCTCGCAACTGCCTCCATACTATCAGATGTTAGTAGACAGATGTCTGGTTTGAGGAACAATTTTTCATTTGAACTTAGTTGAAATGAAAAAGCTACTGTAGAAAGTTTCACAATGTTGATTTCAATATCTTGCTGGGACAGATAATTAGGTTCAGGTCACGGTAGTGGCTAAATGACAATACCTTACGTCAGGGTCGGTTAGTTTCTCTTTAGTCTCAGAGAAGACGGGCTCTCTGACATGATTAAAATTTTGAATACATATTCAAGTATGATGGAGTTCGTGCGAACTTACTTGATGCGTAACAGATTTGATACGAGACTGACAGTGGCGGAGACTAGTGTTTGCCGTGACATTTAAGGAACAAATAGCGTAGTTGGAAAAGATTCATCCCGGCAGCCGAACCGGTGTTCTTGGGAAAAAAATTCTCGGCCCGGTTCCCGAGATTGTTGGAAAAATCGAGATCTCGGAAACTGGGCTCATAAGAAGAGGCCCTTAGTCAATCAAAGAGAATGATCGGAATTAAATTATCTGTATCATTAGTGGCGTCGTGAACTGGGTGTTACGCTTGATTGCTTAATTGAGACATCAATTATCCAATTCAAAGCTCAAACCGTACCCGATGTTTAGCCAACGCTTCACAAAACCCTAATCTATGTTACGTGAAGGTGTTGGTGTTTTTCATCTCTAACCATTATTTTCCGCCAACGAATGGATGAGTAAAGCTTCCTTTATCTTAAAGGCAACTATTTTAAGAAATTCAAACATTATTTTAAAACGAACTTTGCTTTTGTAAATGCGCTCAAGATGCCCTGATGGTGTGACAGGCGTCCCGAGCTCACGTCTTGAGAAAAAAATCAATTAATTCCAAATATTATACAAAGTCTTCTAGAAGGAATAAGAGAGTTACGGTTATATCGCACCATGGTTAGGTCGCAACATGGTTAGGTCGCTCCAACCAATAGTTAGATCGCTACAATCGAAAGTTAGATCGCTCCATCGAATGAGTTACTTCGCCCCCAACATAAGTCATTTCATTCCATGTAGAAAACCAAGGTTGGAGGTTGATAGAAGAAAAGAGTTTTGTTACACGAACAAAGACTCGCCATTTTTAACCAAAGTCGAACCTAGTTTCGCACGGGTCTGAGTTTGACGACGCTTTAAAAATGTTGGCTTTTTGAAAGAAATCATAGTCATCGTTGGTCATTTTCTTTATTTTATTTGGTGGCTCTAGAGGTGCCGTTTGTTTCTGATGCTTGGGTTGTCTGCTGCTCTCTCTGGCGGATTTCTGATTTGACTCGTATTGATCCCAGAGATTAAAGGTCTCGGTATTTACGCCGCTGGATGAAAGACGAGTTTAAAGAAGTGCAATCTACTTTATTAATTAAAGATGGAGGATATAAGTTTCCTTACATCAAACAGCGAAAAAGGCCACACTGAACAGTGTTTGTATTCAAATGATCGTTTTCAATACACTTCAGACTTTACCGTTATACTTTATTCCACCGTCATTGATTCATTCCATCATCGCTATACATCTTTAGCTCTGTGGCTAATCTGAGGGACAGAATACGATGTACTCGAATAGTCTCAAGACACATCATCGCCAAAAATCTTTAAAGATCTGTGGTAAGTAAAACTTCACATTACAACATGGAATGAAGTTAACTTAAAAGTTAACTTTTGGTTGGAGTGAACTAACTAGGAGCGACCTAACCATGGCGTGATCTAACCGGATAACGAATAAGACTAACGGCAAAAGCGAGCATAAAACGGAAGAGAACGCCAGAAACCACGAAGGACACACAAGGAGTGAGTAAGTTTTATTAATCTTACGTAAAATGTTCATATTTCGAAATATCTAGCTTTGTAAATCGACCATATTTCTTTTACCAATTCTATTCCTAATAACGAATTACAATTCTCATCGGTTCCTTGCGCAACTGAACACCGCACCACACAACGCGTGACGCTTTCATAAATTAATCTTCTACTTTCTCTCAAGACGTGAGCTTGGGACGCCTGTGCTCAAAAGACTTAAAGACAGAGTACAAAAAATATGATATAGACCGCTTAGCTTTGTTTGAGTGGGAGGTTGTCGACGTAACTCTCTTCTCTCTTTTCCAAAGTGCTTGCCACTATTTGCCTGCATATGAAATGAGCGCTAATTCGGCAGCTGAAAAGTTCAACATGTTGACAGATATCATAAGCTTAGATAGGTATGAATGTTTCCCGTGGTAAGACGATGAAAAACGCTTACATACCGTCCTTAATAAAAAAAGTGTAGTTAATTATAATTTATGTAGAATATATGCTTAAAATGCTTATATATGCTTAGTGGTAGCGACCACGTCAAAGTTTCAGAGACCAAATGGCAATATCGTAAAAACCGATGTTTACCAGGACATGTAAAAAAAGGAAAGGAGGCAGCTTTCTGTTTGTTCTTTTCTTTTTCGATTTATGATTCTGCACTCTGGAAGTGCTTCT